GGCAGTCTGTGTCTGTCCAGGTAGACTGCCAGTCCGTGTCTGCCGAGGTAGACTGCCAGTCTGTGTCTGTCCAGATAGGCTGCCCATCTGTTTCTGTCCTGGTAGGCTGCCAGTTTGTGTCTGTCCTGGAAGGCTGGCAGCCTGTGTCTGTCCCGGTAGGCTGCCAGTCTGTGTCTGTCCTGGAAAGCTGGCAGCCTGTGTCTGTCCCGGTATGCTGCCAGTCTGTGTCTGTCCTGGTAGGCTGCCAGTTTGTGTGGGTACACTGCCTCCCTGTGGCTGTGTTGGTGCCCCACCCTCACCCTGATTTTCACCAATCACATTGTTGGCAACAGGAGGGCAAACAACTGAAAAATGTAAAGCATGCAGTTAAATATTCAAAATAATATTCTCACTCATTTACATACTTGGTAAGCATATCTTACATTTGCCTGTGGCCGAGGAAAAGGTTCATGGCTGCTATCAAAGAGGATATGCAGGAGGTAGGAGTAGAGGAGGACCCAATGCAGGACCAGTGTGAGCTGAGGTGTGCTATCTACCCTGAGAAGGGTCTTAGCCAAAGGACAAAGAAGAAGGAGCTTATTTTACATTTGCCTGTAGTAATTAAATCTGTACAGTAACATATGAAATGCTTTTCTCATTCTCTACCTCCCCCTTCCTCACCTTCTTTAATTTCTTAAAGGCAACCGATTAGACTTTACAAATATCTTTTGTCCAGTAACAAACTGAATGGGTAATTTGCTTTTCAATATTATGTTCTATTGAATATATATATATATATATATATATATATATATATATATATATTCCTTAATATTAATAATGCAAGGTAGATTGGTCAGCATATTAGATTTGTCAACTATTCATGCCTCTGTACGTATAAATCCTGCTGCTCATCATTCTCAGGTATTAGTTATCAGATGAACATGGTTGCTTAGTTTTTGGTAAACTTAAATTACCAGTCTGTGCAAACTTTGTACTATACTTTGTATTATAACTACAAGACAAATGTCACTTGATATTGAAATAACAAGGAATGACACCTCTACATACTGCTTTAAACATCAAAACAACTTGCTCTTTAGATTTTGCACTGCAAATTTCATAACTAGTAATCTTGAACTCAGCACAGTAAATGTTCATCTGTTACAGAAAAATATTTTTGCAGTTCCTGAGATTAAAAGTTATCAGTCCAGCAATCTAACTCAGTGGGAGGTCTCGCTAAAGTGCAGTCAATGTAACCAGCTTAATAAAGGTTACCGGAGGAGATCAGCATTGGTCAAATTGTGCCAGAAGTGTGAAGTCAAGTGGTGTAAGATGCGAAGCTGAGGGATCATTTTTAGCTGGAGGTGAACGGGAGAGAAGACATGGACTCAGAGAAAAAAGCAGTTTTTCAAACAACATGGTAAGATAACATTTCTTCTTTACGCATTTTGGGCAGAGAATACTTGTAGAAAGAATAGGCACATAATATGAAAATGTGACATGGAACTTGAAGGTGCAAAATCGTGCTAAATTTGCAGTCAATTTGTTTTGAAATACATGCTGCATCTACCGCCAGCGCGACAAAAAGTCTAAAGGGGAAGGAATTCCCAGGAGGCTATAAATCGTTGTCATGTGCAATTTTGGTATTTATATAATCTGATATGTCCATATCTAAGTATTTTTGGATGTTTTATGGTATGTGCTGCAATTGTAATGATGTTTTAGAGTTCTTGAAGGACCTTGTGAAAACCAGGAAATGGTTCGTTTCTAACAACTGAATCGTACAGATCTACAACTGCTGTGCAAAGATGTATCTATTTTAAAATATTGTGATGGATTTTTAGATCTTTATATGTCCATCTGACATGAAATTCCGCACATATGATCACACCAATACACCTTTTAAACCGGGGTAGGCACTAATCAGTGACAAATGCCAAGACAAAGGTGACATTCTGACAGCCATTTATCTGAGCTAAAAATCACTAGCAAAATAGACTGGCAATCAATTTCCTACTGAGAGAGATTCCCCACAGATCGATATAGATCATGCAATCCTGCTGGACTGATTACTTTCAAACTGAACACAGCCTAGGGTGTCATTTTGGCATTTAATGCCACCACTATAAGACTGGAACCAAAGTAACTAAAATGCTATCTAGGTTATATGTGTAAACAGGCATTTGGTGATTACCTCCTTCTTTCTGAGACTGTGCTATCAAATATAGCATAATGCAGGTTTCCTTCATGTCAACTTTGGGGCAGTATGTGCTGCACACCATTCCATCCTGGGCCAGAACGTCAAACTGTCCCATCATTAGTTGATTCGGTATCTTAACCGGGGTATTTTTTATCACCAAGCAGACATCAGGCCATATAGATTTATCTTCATTATTCAACAAATAAAACACAGCCGCCTCGCTCAAACAACTTGGTGATTTTACATTTGCGCATAAATCACTGGTTGCACTGTTTATAAGCTGCAAACAGGCAGCTTTCGCCAGAGGTCTGGTGGTTGATTCGGGGTCTACCACACCGGTACATTTTGAAGACTGTGCTGAAAAGATCTGCGAAAGACATGCTGATTTCGTTTCTTGCAATCCAGTATCTTCTGCTGAGGAAATCCAAAAGAAAAGCGATAAAACGCAACAGAGAAAACGTGTCATCGTTCAGTTAGTGCTTCCGGGTGTGACTAAGTTCCCATTTCCAGAGATTAGATCGATCTACTTTAGATCGACCTAACTCCCTGGGGGTTCACGCTAAATAGCTGTCAGCCGAGCGGACACGAAAGTTAATTACACCCTTACAGCTTGTAGTAGGCGGGACGGACATTTAAGCCGGATTATCTGACAGTAATCTAGTGAGACTCCCCGCGGGGATAGATCGATCTAAAAGCTCTGGGAATACAGCCTTAGGCGCAATACACTGCAATACAACGCAACACAGCGCAATACACATGATAACACAAGTCCAGTTGCAAGTAAACACAGGAAAGGGTAATCTCAAATAAAATAGGGTGATATAAAAGCAAAATATATAGTAGGCCTACATAGTAATTAATATTGATGATACAACTTGACAATTTTTTCATTGTTTGGTCAGCTGCCATGGCGGCGAGTAGCTCTTCTTGGCCAGTAATATATCCAAGAAGAGCCACTCGCCAACATGCTGCCAACTGGACAATATAAATGTCTTGCTGATTTGTTAAGTTATATCAACGATATTACTTACATAGTAATATAGGTTGTTTTTATATCACCCTACTTTGCTGGGAATGGTCATTTCTTTTGTGTAATTGCAACTGGATTTGATTTTTGTATTGCACTGTGTTGCGCAGTATTGCGGTGTATTGCGCAATTCAGTCACACCGAGTGCTTCCCGCAGGTAACTCTTGAATTTGACCGATAGATGGTGGGACGGTCATAAAAGTATGGCCAAGATGTCAATGTTATTGCATTCAGTGAATAGTGGAGTGTCAGTCTTCAGTACGGCGCATGCTCAAACTACACGAAAATGGATGCTTGACGGAATATACAAGTTTGGTCAAATACAACGACCGAAAAGTGTAAATCTGCACAAACTTAAAAAATAACCTACACGGATTCTTCTTTAACGTTAATAGCGCCATCTTTACTCTCATTGCAGAACTGTACGTACCTGTTGGACCGTCAGGTAGTCTCCGTGCACATAGTGTGTTACAGTGGTTGCATAATTTCCGTTATGCCACAAAAAATGTATATATATATTTTAAGTTGTTGCTTAGGAGTGGGGATTACTTTATATCAAGTAGTCGCTATTTAGATTAAACTAGTAGCACTTGGTGAAGGGAATGACAAAGTTTTTGCTACAAAAGGTTTATATGCTTCATTGTTAGATTGCAGCTCTTTACCACATCGCGGCTTTACTGGACGTAAAAATTGTTGTTTTAACTTTTTAATAAATTAATTGACTGGTGCATTAACCAATTAATTATGGTGAGAACTTTGCACATTAATTAGTTGCATAAATAATCATTAATGTTGAGAAAAATTGATTAAGTCATTGAGATATAATAAACATTAATGAAAAATGAGCTGCCTTAGCGGCCGGAGGTCTGCGCTGTCTGGGTGTTTTTCTCGTTATCTATATTTTGATCAGGACTGCAAAGAGAGAACAGTAATATGCTTACGTAAATCTATGCCAGTTTCCCCGTTATCCCCACCCACCCTCCGTACTTTTTCTGAATGGTTAGCCCCTACCCTCAACCCCGGGCCCTTAAAATTTGCATCCTTCGAATGCTGTACAGACCATTCCTCGTTACATTAATTTATACATAAGTTAATTTTATGTAAATGATATCTCATTATTATAAAATCGGTGAAAAAATGTCGTGGAGATTTTTTTGCGTTTTTTCTCTCTTTCTTTCTTTCATTTAAACAAAAGATTTTACATTGATCAATTGTGGTAGTTCTACTGCACAATGGCAATGGATGTGCTCTCAACTACCACAAACAGTAAAAAGTCTGAATATCCTGCATCATAACTACATTTCAGGTTATGTTATTATTGAGTTAATTAATTAATTAATTATTAGATTGGTTGTTCGATTTAATAATTAACTAATTTTTAAATAATAATGAGAAATGAGCTGCCTTGGCGGAGGTTTTCGCTGTTTGAGTGCTTCTGTAGTTAACCAAGTTGTAAAACACACCATCTCTTTCTTTCAGAAATAGGCCATACGCTTCCAAGTCTCACATTACTGACATAAAAACACTGTTGTTTTAGCCAGGAAATTAACTGAATCTCAATATATCTCGTTATCTACTTTAAATATATTTAAATTCATTTGCAACGACAAAGAAAAAAAAACGTAAAGTGTGTTGTTGCCANTTTTTTTTTTTTTTTTTTTTTTTTTTTTTGCATGAATACAGTTTATAAAAGTGATGTGGCATACCATATTTTCCTCTTTTTTGTACCCATCCCAAGTGGGCTAATACTAGCAAGTCACTTGTTTTCCTTATAATAAACAATTTTCAACTATTGTTAAATACAAAGTTACATAATAATGCTGTACTAACATAAATACGTTCATGTCCTCTGGTGTTTTGCTAACCTTGTGTCTTTAAATGGAGCTATTCAAACTGCTTTTAGGATTAAACAATGGACCAAGCATTGCATCCCCAAGAACCCTTCTATAGTCTAGGCATGATTTTCTTTTACAAAATGAAACTTCTGCTTTCATTGGCTAATAGTTTACACTGAAACAATTTTTATTATTTTATATAATTCTCTCATTAAGTAGGTGGTTGTTGGTAGAGATTGCCTGATCTTTCTTGGGAACAAAAGGGCCACGTTAATTAAATATGATTCATCACGTAAAGCTGTAGTAAATTGACTAACTTACTTTTTGGATACGCTGCCTCTCTTTGAAGATCTTGTATTTTCAAAAGTATATGTATTTGGCTAGATTTATTTATTGTGCCATTATCGCAGTTTTTGCATTAGTGATATGAATTGCCCAATATGTTTTGTACTTTGGTCTATTTGCTGCATTAGATTCTCTATATGTTTTTCATATTGGAGGCATTGCGACAGGAAGTGGACTTTGTTCTCCATTCTCTGTCTAATAATAATAATAATAATAATAATAAGATTCTTATATGGCGTCTTACATTCTATCTCAAGGCGCCTTACAATAATGGCTAATATACTAAAATCATTAACATGACTACAATATTTTAATATAAAACACTCACTGGAAACCATTCAAATTTACACTGCGAAAAATATTTATTTAAAATATATTTATTAAAAAAAAAGAAAAAATCTAAGAGATATAGACAGAATTACACACTCTACACATTCTTTTTTCGGACAGTAGAGGATTGGGTTAATGACGTCTACCTCTCTGTATTTCTAAATCATGGGGTTCTAATTCTCAATTTTGCAAGGTTCTTAGGTTTGGCATTTATTTTGGTGGGGGAGCATCTTCATATTATTCTGCTTCACAAGATGATTTTTATAGTTTATACAGGTATGCTCCCAGTAGTCCATTTTCTCTGTCTTGTTCCTTAAAATAGCAATTTGTACAGTGATCAAAAGCTTTACCGTTTTTTTTATGTGTACTTGCAACCACCCGTGTGAATTGTCATTGTGCAAATCACATATATAGCAATAGCTTTGGCTGGCATATTCCTTAGCCATGCTCCAAACGCACGCAATGTTTTTTCATCGGAGGAAAGAGTGATGGACATAAACACACTGCAAGAAGACTACACGTAAGTCCTTCAGTAATACATAAGATCAATTAGCTAGTAAAGATAACAGAGAATAAGCCAACAGACCGAGCTCAGGTCACTTTTGTGCCACAACTCCAGTTCAAGGCCATTTTCCTTATTTGTCAATCATAAGCAATCTTGCTGCCACTGCCCAAATGATCCCACCAGAAGGACCAATCACACTACCATTAATGACCAAACCGTTTGAGGAAGTGAATACACTGTCACAAGTCCATGCAGTGCTACCAGTCCTCCTGGCAAGAAACAAAACAGTTTTTAGGGCGTTGGCAACCAGTCACAGGCGCTGAACACGTCACTAGTTGTCTTGACTGAGTTTAAATATACAACCCAGAAAAGTGAAGGCAGAACTCGTATGTGCATGCAAGTCAAGATATAAACGTGGCCTTTAAAGAGCGCATAAATGTGGTGGTGACAGAGATGGGCTTTCACTTCACCAAAACACTTATCTTTACATAATTCATGGTAATCGGTTTGGATTATACTTCATGAATGCAATCCTGATACAGCTGGTAGTGCCATTGTATTTCACACCTGTCAGTCACTCAGAAGATACATGAGATAAGAAGCCTAACTGCAGGTAATTGGTAAGCTAACTGTCTAAAGGCGGTGCAGGTGCTTTTCATAAATTGAACTTGTTATCAGCGTTTATCAGCGTTTGTTTGATTCCAGATGGGGAATAGCAACACAGGTGCCATAAAAGCATTTCTCCGTATGTCCTGGAGCTATTCTACGAGGTGACAAAGCACGTCCTCACCTACATGAATTTTCAAAGACTTCAGCATGGAAACGTCCAAGGAATGGACTCGTTTGCCTGTTCGTCTGATATGCAACCTTATGACATGGGGCCACATAGTTCTACGATTTCAGTGAAATCGCCCAACAAGATCTCAATCAGTTCGCTCAATGACCAATTCAAGAAGGGAATTTCATATCACGGCAGTTGCTCCAGAAATTCACTACTTCTACTTTGAGTAGTTAATAAGAGACAATTCCCAGAGACTATCGTACTACACTTTGTATCTCCGAGGGGATTCTCGCTTAATTTCAATGAGTTGTCAGTCACGCCTGCTGATGCTGATAGGGGTAATTAACTATCGTTAAACAGCTTTGGTGGGCGTCCCAGATGTCTAAGCCATTTAGCGGGAGACCCCGTGGAGATGTGCCGATCCTTTTAGATCAATCTAGGGATCGGAACCCAGTCTAAAATATGCAAACCATCTGTTCTGTTCAAAGTTCATCAAAAGTAATTCAACGAAAACGGAGGGCCTCTAGTTTTGTGTTATCATCCTTTACGACCCTTCTAACCGATATGACCTCAAAAGGTTTCTGATCGTGCTACTTAAGACCAATTTGCTTATTTAAGTGATATGATGTTATTTTTCTAGGTTTACAACTGCGTTTTGGGTCGAGTGAAAAAA